AAGTCTTTATAACTCAGTCGACCAACAGGATGGGGAGAAGGTAAGAGAATGAGTGGCCTTTTCTGAAACTGGTCTTCATTTGGAATGCATCTGCGAGTTGTTGAACTGTGATCCGTAAAGTTGCGATGTGGTTTGTACACGATCGATCCTTACGGAATCCAACCTGTTGATCTCAGAGATGATGTCTACTGAACCTTTCATTCGATTCAACAACATTCTGTTGAGAAGCTTCCCGGTACCGTTAGTCGTGTGATGCCACTGTAGTTCACATATTTGCTCAGATCTCTCTTTTGTATCTTGATGAGTCAGTCAGTCAGTTACAACGTCGGGCCAGGCATATACATGCATCGATCCAAGTTGCCATATCTTATTAGCACATCATGATGAACACTGGATTCACAGAAGCAGTTAACTCAATAGTGATATATATAAAGGAAAGATTTTATGTAACGATATAGTACAGAAAGAAAGATGTGAAATAATTTTAATCTCATAGTTCAAAGGAAGACAGAGTGTGTATACACCTACGCCGTTGTGACCGATTCTGAGCCATGTCACCAAGAGTCTCCAACCATTGGTTACGATAGTCACGTGGACCCTAACCAAGTAGTCTGCATCTACCAACATGGCTAGGATTAGAATTTAAAGACTTCAAGCACTGACTCCACGTTTTGGTTTGGCCGCCACTAACTTTCTTCCAACCGTCCCCAACACTGCTCAGCATTGTATGCCGTGGTAACCGGTATCTGGGCATATGCAACACGTAGCCTAACCATCTCAGTTGATGTAGATTCACAACCTCATCAACTTACTTACTATCATTCCCTAATACCGTGCGTCTAACCTCACTATTACTTACCCAATAATCCCAGCAGATGCCAGCAATATTTCTAAGGCATCCGTGGTCAAATACTAGTATCTAACGAGTATCTTCTAATCTTAATGGCCATATTTCGCTGCCGTAAATTAAAACAGAACGAACCGCTGTGCAGTATACTAATCCTTTTATTGATAGACGGATATCTCGCCTTCGCGATAGGTGACGTAAGTTGGCAAAAGCCAAACGAGCATTTCAAGTCCGTGCTGAGGTTTCGTCGGATACCAACCCATTACGGCCGATCAGATTTCCAAGATAAGTGAAGTTGTCAACGCGTTCGCCTGCTTCACTCCCTATCCTTAGTTCAGGTGTTGACTTAGGCCAGTCCTGAAGCAAAAACTTGCATTTACAGGGGGCGAAGCGCATCCCAAATATTCTGGCATTGTTTCTCAGTGCTAAAAAAGACTGCATTTTATCAGCGTCTTCACCAAATAAGACTATATCATCTGCGTATTCGAATTCTATAAGTGGACCTCCCGGTAGGAGATCAATGCCAAAAAGTTCAATCGACAAGAGCGTTATTTCCATCAGCATGTCTTTAATGAAATTAAACAAAAATGGAGAAAGTAGACAGCCTTGATGGATACATCTTGAGGTTGGTGTTGCACATATAATGTGGCTGTAAATTCTAAGAAAATGAATTCATTGAAAGATAGCTTCATCAATATAATTCCTATTTTTCTCAACGTCAACTATGGTAATGCTTATGTTACAAGATAGATATAGTATATTGTCAAAAACTTTTTACTTAATAGTTAATGTACTTTAATACCAAGTATTTGATCACAGGTTCAACGTTAGCTTTACCTAACTTAGTTCTGTTATCTGGAAATAGTATTACCTGTCTTTACAATTAAAGTGTAGTTCAAACACAGTGATATAAATATATAAACTCGGTACATGAATTACACTAACTAAGGGAACATAAATTTAATGTACATAGTAAATAGGATTTACTACATGTCAGTTAATAGACATAACTCACACAACATTTACGTCTTTCAGTTACATGTGATTCACCTAAACGTACAACACATCTTTCCAATTCATTCAATGGTGGTAATAGCATAACCACTTTATGCTGTTGAATATCATCATTATTGTTAACATTTTTCATTTGAATGACAGTTTCTTTTTCAGTTTCATTAAGCTGTTGTTTCAATTTATCAAAATGTAATTGTTCTACTTTAGCTTGTTCACGTAATTTCAATAATCTTTGTTCGTGACACCAATTAACAAATGTATTTAAAGCTTGTATACCATCACTTGTAATGAATTCTTCACGAAACTCATTGGTAATTTTGGACCATTTCACTTCTCTATTTATAGATTTAATTTTAGTCGCTGAATTATTTGTTGTATGTAGAATACTTTTTAATTGATTTCCAAGTTTGGAAGATTTATTCTGAATGAATTATACAAGGCAGAAATTCATTAATTATATGAAATAATAAGAAACTATTTAATGAATTTGAATAGCTTTAATATACGCTTTGTTAAAGATATAAGATTCTATGGACTGGATATTTTATTCATTGTTGTAACATTAGAAAATTACTTGATTCGCAAACATCACGAGTTGACATATTAAAGTTATTGTTATTTTTGTGATAAATTTGTGTACCTTATTGATTCAAAGCGTTGTTTACTAGCGGAAAAAGAAACAAACTCTAACAAGTAATTATTAATATGCAACATCTGCTGAATATCTTAGTGGCTATCATGACTCAATAGCTGGGTTAAAAATATTGAATTTTAAAATAATTAGTAGTGGTTTCGAGTGTAGGTGTCAATATTGCAGTATATGTTTAACCAGCTAATGAGTTCTGAATAGGATGAAACGTGAATCCTCTATTTTACTAATAATCATAATGCTTTATTTAATTTTATAAATATCATAAACTATTAATGGTTATCTGTAAACTATGAGAAATCCATACAAAATCATGTTCTGTTTTCTATCCAAAGGTTTTTATGAACACGAGAAAGTAACTTGATGAGAAAGGTTTGTAAGCTGTTTTTCAGTTGTAAACAAAATGATAAAAAAAACTATTAAAAGTGAATGAAAAATTATAATTAGTTGCATTCCTTGAAAATAACTTCAGTGTGGACCATCTAAAGATAATAATCAATTGAACACTTTAATAGCTAATTTAATGACCAAGTTTTCTTGGATCGATCTTTATGCATCAGATTTTATTTATATCTGTAGATCACTTGTAAGGAAATCATCAGTCACAAAGCTATATAGAGAGTTTGTGTAAATTGAGAAATAATTATACAATGTATTCTGCACGAAAATCCAAACAATTATTTGATGGCAACTCGAACCGACGTACGCATGTTCCAGGTTCTACGTTACGTTTGACTAACCGACTGATATGTTTTAAATAAGTCAGACGATTAAGATAGTCACATGTTATACTAAGGTAAGTCAGATCAAAATTCAGTCATAGTTCATATTTATACAATCAAACTATTAGAATCATTCAGATTTCTCATTTTGGTAATAACAGTCATCTATGAAATCTATGAGGTAATTTATTTATCATAAACTTGCTTAATATTAAAGTATTTTAATGTTGAGTGAATACTTATCTCGGAAAATCTGATATTGAAATGTTTTTATTTAACGATGTTTGATTCAGATTTCCAATCAAACGCTATCTGACGTAGAAATAACTCCGCCTGTACATTTCTAGGGTTACTGCCGATTTCAAGCCTCGGTGAAAGACGAGGGTCGGGCATGAAGTCAGCATCCCTATCACTTAGAAAACAATCCTGCTAAAATACGCTAACAAGAAAAAACAAATAAGCCATTTAAGCTCTGTCCTCCGAGTTGAAGAGATCCATTCCTTATGATGATGCTTCTCTAGGCTCAGAACCTCTTTACACGTTGAAGTTAATGCTTCTTTGATACCTTTCCAGTTTTCCTCCATAGTAGTTTCTTCTTTCTTCGGCAGATCCTGTAAGACTTGAAACCTGTTGTTGAGAGGTATCTTGAATTTATTGAGTTTGTCAGTATCTCGAAGGAAGGCTATATTGAACCTTTGTAGTGCTGTATTTCCAGTTGTCCAGTTCGTCTTTAGCTTCAGTTTTAAATTGGTCACAACCAGGTGGTGATCTGAAGCCATGTCAGCTCCTCTCCTGGTTCTCACATCTTCCATTGTCCTTCGGAATTTTTTGTTGATGCAAATATGATCTATTTGGTACTCTGTAGTGTGTTCCGGTGAGATCCATGTAGCCTTGTTTATACGCTTGTGTGGAAATATTGTGCCTCCTACGACCAATTTGTTAAATGCACATAGATTTGCAAATCTTTCCCCATTTTCGTTTCTCTCTCCCAGTTCATGTCGTCTCATGATATCTTCATATCCGGCATTGTCTATTCCGACTTTGGCGTTTAGATTTTCCATCAGAATAGTGAGGTCCTTTCTTGGGCACTTCTCTATGATTGATTGCAGCCTCTCATAGAATTGGTCTTTAATGTCGTCGTTGCCATCATTAGTGGGTGCATAACATTGGATAATATTCATTGTGATCCCCTTCTTCTTTGTTTTGAAGGATGCTTTGATGATTCCGGATCCGTGGGATTCCCATCCTACAAGTGCATCTTGTCCTACTTTGGATAGCATTAGAGAAACTCCCTGCGTGTGTGGAGCATTTTCTTCTTCGTGGCCGGATTTTAGTAGCATCTCTCCCGTATTTAGCTTTTGTTGTCCAGCTTGGGTCCAATGCATTTCGCTGATTCCCAGTACTGCCAAGTTGTATCTCCTCATTCCCGTTGTTATTTGACTGGTCTTCCCGGTCTCCCACATTGTTCGGGGGATTATACATTATCACCTTAGATGGAACATTAAAAGTATGGCAATTGATTACACCTTTACCAATCGGTGTGCAAATACAAAAACTGGACATTTTTCAAAGGAATAAACCAAATTTACGTGCATATTTCACACGTTTTCCATTTAAAATTATTAATAATACTGACATCTATTGCATTTATACAGCTAAGAATTATTCATTTCCCAAAGTAAAGGAAACTGATATTAATTGTGTAACTAATTCTTGTTGTTACAATGTAGTCTGTGCTGAAGTGGCCAATCCAGGTGATCCCTATTCTATGTTCAATTTCATAACATCACGGTATTTTGACTCAGCTTATTTAAATCATGAGAATACAGCTTTGGTTAAAGATATTTGTATTGGCTTAACAAATATAAGCATGTTAAACAAACGTTTTGAAAAATCACCCATGATTGAACAAATATTTCTAACAGTAACTACTGATCCTGTTGAACGAGAAAACCTTTATTTAAAAGTATGGCAAACAACATTTGATTACAATATGGGAAATGATTATCATGTCAGAAACTCTAACAGTTTGAAACGAACATCTACAAAAGCATTACAACGTCTACAAATGTTAGTTGATAGTGGAGACACTAATATCGTCTGTTTAAAATGTAGTCTACAGTTGATAAATACATTTAGATTACCATTTCCAACCGGACCAAGAATCTCTAAAGCTGTTTGTAGAATCGTCGGTATTCAATTAAATGGTGATATTTTATTGACAATCAATAATAGTGTATATTTACTTCACTATAAAACATTGAATAAGTATTTTAAATTAAGATCTTATTTATTAAATTTAATGAATCAATCTACTGAAAATAAGATGATTCCAGAAATATTACAAAACGTAATAAGAAGAAGAGAATGGAATGTAGATGGATTGAAGAAAATGAATGATGTAACTTTGTCTTTGGTAAGTTTTTTCTATTGCTAATGAATGTTCAGTATATGTTACTGATGATTCATTCAAAGACTGGCTTCATTTTGTTTTGTTTAACTTCTGACTTATATAAAAAGGCATTTGGTAGGGCAATATTCACTTTAAATGCAATCTGACATCAATTATACAAGCTGCAAGTTAAAGTTCGCATTATCTTCTGAAGCTAAACTCGTGAAATGTTCTACTATTTGACAGTTCAATATTAGGAAATCGAATACGACATTTTATAGAACAGTTTATTTTCGACATAAGCAAGCAGTTGATCAAACTCGAAACTGGTAAAGCAGTGTGCAAATATGCAAACTACATGACAAAAAAATCATTGAATAGATTATTCACGAGTCCATTTGAATGTTTGAGCTTTAATGAAATCCCACTCTAATACAGACTAGTCAGAAGAGTTTATGCAACCTTTAAGAGTTTAAAAAATACTCAAGGTATACAGAATGAGATTACTACAAATTTTACTGAGTTATATTTCTTGAATGGCATGAATCGAAATTGATTCCAGTTGGATAGGTATATTCATTCTCCATCTTTCTCCAAAATATTGAGTTGAATATCTTTACCAAATTTTGATACCTCATTTTAATCCTTACTTTAAAGTTAGATTTCATGTGTCCAAATTTTACTGTTATTAAGAATAATTCTTATTGTTTTGTTGTTCTACAGATCGTTCCGATTACCATATACACTTACTAGCATATACCAACCCCAAACTCAATGACTTATTTTTTATCGTAATCTATGTGTGACTTTCACATATTGCACTGAATTTCTGTGTAAAACTAACACTAACAATTTATGATCAGAATGGGGGTTTGTGGAGATTGTGGTAATCGTATTATTTGAATTCATGAGTCGATGTAAACACTATTGGATGTCGGCTCAGTGGTCTAAAAGTTAGGCGTTTGCGTGCGACACCGAAGGTCCTAGGTTCGAGTCCCGCATGCAGGGTCGTGGATGGGCACTGCTGGGGAGTCCCGTACTAGGACGAAACAGCAATCCAGTGCTTCCAGGTCTTCGATGGTGGTCTAACACTGATATATTCATGAATTCAATTACTGAAGTTACTAACAATTTTTTAATATATTATTTTTTCATGTTTTAAATTCAATCTCATTATGTCACCAATGAGAGTTTTAATCACTTTTAATTGAAGTTAGACCACAACTAATAGACATCAGTTTCATAAAAGATCGAGTTTATAACAAAATGGTAATTGTAAGTATACTTCAAAAGACACGTTAGATTTAATTGATCTCCCTAATAACGTTGATATTATGAAAGAGTTTATGGAGTCTTTTAGTGTTAGCTCTCTTCTTACTGATGTACTTTTTATTATTTCTGTTGATTTTCTCTGTTACGGTGTATCGGGTAATTTTCCTCTTTGTTTGAACTGAACCAATACGATTGAAAAAACCACTTTCATTATGTATTGACAAAGTTCATTTTAAAGATGAACATTTTAGACGAGTTGATGATATTGTTATGCCCACTACCTTGGGACTTCTCTTAGCACATGTACATGTTAAATTGTTGAAAATATGACAACTGAGGCGATCAGCCAAGTAAACCTCATATAGGAGGTACATGGATGATATGCTAGTCATATTTGATAGGTATTTCTGTGTGATTTGATAATCAAATAGACGCAATAACGTACAGAATCATATTCTACTTATTTATAAAGAAGAAAATAATAACTGATTGCCATTTTAAAATGTACTTCTGAACCAAAGGAGGATAGAACTGTAAACTCATCAGTTTATGTAAAGCCAACCTGGACTGGGCAATATCTTAACTTTCGCAGTTTCTGTTCGTCTGAATACGATTGACGGGTGATAAGGTTCTATTCCAATAGAATTTAGTGATTATTCACTGCAGATACGTTTGAAGAAAATATAGAACTCCAGACTGAGACATTGATATTGGCCTGATGTCTGTTGAAGGTTATAGATCTGTGTTAAAGAAAGTTAACATCAAAACCACTTCCTAATTCTATCCCAAAGAAAAGACAATATCATTTTAAAATTTAGAGGAATCTCAGATAGAATAATTTTGAGACAGATTAGAAGTCGCCATCGAGAAAATATTTTATACTGATAAATTAACTGTTCTTAGAGAAACAATGCTCAGGGATCCACATACACCAAAGTATAACATAAAATGACATGTCGTAATCCACTGTATTTACATAGAAACGAATACATAGTGAGGAGCAACGGAATAATGCAATCTAGAGTTATGGAACAAGTGCTTAAATGGCTTCAAAATTAGTTATTATCAAATGCTCCGATAAACGTCAGTACTAGAAAACTATGTTCTCCAGTAGCAAAGCAAACAACTGAAACAAGCTATAGAATTAACCTTAATACATCCTCTATAGTATTATATAGAAATCGTTAATAACAAAAAAGATTTAGCTATTAAGTATTCCGAATCTTACGTGTACGAAACTGATTTGTTATAACCTTGATTTTGCATTGATAATCTTTAGGCAATGTGCGAACCGATGTGATATGATAATTTTTTTCTGTATTTTTTAATTTTTCTCTTATATTTCCAATTATCACTTCATGCTTAATACACCTTTTATTCAATTAAAGTTTATTACTAATCACATAAAATTTCTTGACAAGTATATGTAGTGTCAAATTGTTCTAAATGTGTGGCTCAACTACATCATGTATTAGTGATCAACTCGATCTTCTCATTACCGATTGCTTTATACCGAATATAATAAAATATTATTGCCTATTTAACTGAATTTTAATACGGTTACCTGTCATTTACGTTTACTACTAATATTATTATTATTATTATTATTATTATTATTATTATTATTACTACTACTACTACTACTACTACTCTTGTCAACCGAGAATTCATGTATATAAAGGAGTCGAAGTAGAGCAGCTTTTCAGATGTGCTTATCCATACTTAATGCATTCAATTAGTGCTAAGATTCTAATGCCAAAAAATTCATTCATTCTGAAGAGTCATAACATAATGTGGCTGTCTCACCACAAAAAAATTGAAGAAACTCGTTTTCAGTTCTTCTTTTTCATTAAAAGTCGTCTATCAAATCAATATACCATCACAAGATGAAGCTCAGAAATCAGGAACAAAATGGAGATCGTCCTGGCATATGTGAAAAATATCTTGACGGCCATTATAAGCATTCTGAAACCTTTTAGAATCAATGTCACGCATTATTGTCAGTACATCCAGGTCATTTTATTTCTTGTAAGCAAAAGTATATAACGGTAAAAGAGAACAAATACAACATCATCTATAAAATAAATTGCATGAGCCCTGACAAATTTGATGCGTCCTTCACTTACACATACATAGACATCGATTAGCATTAAGGTGACTGTTGTCAATGCTTGTGAATAATGATGAGTGAAATAGAAATTCTGAATTGAGAAAATTCTAAATAACAAAATTTTTAGCAATATGGCATTTTGATTGATTGACAATCAATAAACACATTAACATAGATTTAATCTATCGACCCATACAGAAGAGGTTAATCAATTTCAGGGTGGCAGGACAACTGAAAATGACATTCGATATAAATGCAAAAATAAGTGGAAACAAAAAACCACAAAAGAAAGACATTCGAACAAACTGATTTAAGACGTGTGGAATAACCCAGAAACTCAATTTTAAATAAGGTAGAGGCAGCAATAGTGTCAAAAATGATAACGAGGGGTCTGAAACTCATATATTTGGTATAGATAATATAATACACACCTAAGCTGTATATCTTCGTTAACAAGCAAATTATTGATCATTTTTCCTAACATATACAACTAATTAATCAGTTGCTTAAAAAATCGATACAAATTGTCGTTTCTAATTTAATATAAGCCATGAACGCGTCATTATGTCATAGCTCAAGACGTTTTCACTACAAATGTATATTTATCATCGTCAATATGAAGAAAAATCCATATTGCATATGACATATGATAGGTGATTATAGGTGTCACAAGACGGCAAAATGAGATTTATAATAAAATAGCCAGACTGATTTTTCATTTTCCAGCTGATCTATCATTAATCTTTATGCATAAATGTCCTAGGGTAATAGATAAATTCTGTATGACGTCATTTTCGACATTATCATGACGACAAAATTCCTGACATATAATCATTCGAATATGAGCGCTGCTGAAGAATTTTAAATCACAATGAAGCCTATGTGGCCAGCTGATCTGACCCCGATTTAGATGAATGTACGAATATACTATGAACACAAATCTTCCATTCAATTTCGTATACTAACTAGGCTAATCCCGTGTGTGACAGATGAATGTGGATTGCGTTGAAGGGATTTATTCCAAGCATTCGTTTATTCAGACAGGCGTTCAGGATAAGAAGCGGAAAAGGCGAAGTCAACTCCGTTTTGATAAAGGGTGGCTCAATATTTATAGTTAGACAAAAATAGGCTACAGATATGTAATGAGTTGGTTGATCAATTCACACACATACGCTCATATAAAAACAGTCAAGGTTAATAAGCGAATAATTGATAAGGTCAGAATGTGACTCAAGAAGAAGGAATAAAATGGTCTGTTCAGAAGCTAGAATAACCCGTGTGGACTTGAAATAATATCAGACACTACAAAGCTGCCATACAGTTTGAGTCCTTAATTTCGAACTGGTCCTTTTATAGGTGTCATGTTATGAAGATAATCGCGTTTAAATATATTGATTTCTAAGGCAGATGGTCAGCAATCTTGATCATATTATAAGTAAGCATGGGCTAGACATTTTAAAAATAGGCCCACCGTCCCCATGATTGGTTTAACCTATAGATAATGGTCATCCCACACCGCTCATCTAGCCCCCAGCCATCTACGCTTCCCCTAAACCCACTAGCCAGGTTACGCTCCCCCGAAAACTCCTCCGTATACCTGAACCCTCTGCGCGTCACCCAGACCCCGCCAAAACCCCACCACACCCAACATCCCCGCAGCCTA